ATGCTTCTGGCCAAATATCATCACCCTAGGCCTTTTGGTTACTGAGAAGAAGTTGTTTAAAGTAAAAAGTTGACGCCAGACGGACGCCGGACCATGCCATAAATGGAGTGTCACAGTGGAGCATTTTTTAATAGAATGTTCCGATTTTAAACACATACTAATAGAACTGCAGGACATTTTGGTAGGGATAGGACCACTCAAGCAATCAAAAATCGATTCTACTGGCCTGGTATGACAGATAGTATCAAGAGATGGTGTCAAGCTTGCGACTTATGTGCTAGATGTAAGCCCGGTCCAGGGTTAGGCAAGTCTCCTTTACGCCAGTTTAAAGTACGAGCTCCTATGGAGTGCGTAACAATAGATATCACGGGACCCTTACCCCAAACTAACAAGGGAAATGAGTATATCCTAGTGTTAGGAGATTATTACACCAAGTGGAAGGAGGCGTTTCCATTACCAAATCATACTGCTCTAACTGTGGCTGACACGCTAGTTTCAGAAGTGTTCAGTAGGTTTGGATGCCCCATCCAACTTCATTCAGACCAGGGTCGTGAGTTCGAGTATGAACTATTCAAATAAGTTTGCAGGCTACTAGGGATAAATAAAACTAGGACTACACCCCTGCAGACCCCAGTCTGATGGCGTAGTGGAACGTTTCAACCGTACTTTAAAACAAGAGGCCCAATGGGCCTGCATCGCTCACCTGGTATAAATATCACACTTGTAACCTTAAAAGTGATCTAAAATAAAGCTACAGGCAAAATAAAATATCAGTATTTATGATTAAAATTTATTCAAAAGAACCTGTTATTTTTTTTTTAAACATTTCACCCCTGTGATTGAAAATCGAACACAGTCATTATGTTGAACAAATTTAATAGCCTTTCATCTCAGGATGCAACTTGCAAAGTATCAACATCCTGGGACCCATGGTTATTCAGAAGAGGTCGTTTAAAGATTTTAAACAAATTTGACCCCTGTGACCTTGAATATAAGTCAAAGTCATTCACTTTAACAAACATAGTAGTCCTTGATCCCAGCATGCTACTGACTAAATATCAACATCCT